CGAAACAGTTACTTGGCTGCCAAGGAAGCGAAGTGTGGCGCTTTCACGACGAAAGGTGCGCTGGTTGCTGAGCAGGACTTCGAAAGCACTCCGCCCCCAAAAGCGATCCGCCCACTAGTTTAGTTGGTGATTTGGACGAGCTGCGTTGCCAGCAGCGGCACAACTGGAGCAACTCGATTGGAGCGTGGTTTGGCATGCTGCCACCAAACGCGTTGCGGTGAACTCGTTCATACGTCCGATTTCTGAGCTGTTACCTGTTCATGAGTGAAAAAGAACGGCCAAAAAGGGGGTCCCGTTTTGCGTTTTCTTGACGGATTTCTCAGCTTTTTTGCCACTGCGTGCCATTGAGCACCATTATGTCTCCTTCGAGCCCTTCTCGAATCTATCGTAATCGCGCCTTTAAGTTGAAGGACTTACTCACCTTCGAAATAGGCTGTGCTAAGGCAATGAGAGACTAAGCGCGGAGAGGAGAGTATGAGGCGAGAGAGCGCAACAGATGAGAGGGCGCCAGACAACAGCCTGATAAAGAAAAAACTGCAGCTGCTGCAGCTTACTTTGCAAGGCCCTAGCGCTTTGTCGGTGATTTCCGTGCACGGGAATGCCACATCTGTGATTGTCCTCTAGCGGTCCATCCTACAGACCTAAGGGAATCGCTCACACAACTTCTGCCTAGGTTACCTTTGAGGTATCTTGACCAAACACATATCCTTCGTCTCTTCACCTTGTACTTGAAACAGAGTCTAACGCTACGAACATACTCACTGAAGGTAAAGCACAAGCTGTCATGCTTGTAGCTCGCGGCGGAATTCAATCGTCCATAGTATCTCATCTTATGCTTTTGTTCAGGGTGAAGCTCTTTGGTGGTATGCTTCTACAACCCAACCACTGAATAGGCTCTTCGCTGTAAGATGTAAGGTCGTTCCGGGAGGAGATTGCTGGTGTCACTAGAAGATGGCTGTCAGAATCTGCCAACATTCTAGGAAAAAGGTCGTGACCCAGAAGGTAGTAATGGCTACACTGCGGTGAAATTTGGACACCTCCCACATGAAGCAGCAGCCTGGTTAAGACCTGACGACACAACTTGTTACAGCAATTGAACTAACATGTTGGGCAAGGAGGACCAATAACGACATCCACATTCTGCTTCACCATTTGCTCCAGAGCCACTCCGACCGCCGTCTCAGAACTGCATTCGGTGTAATTCACCACAAACCTAAACATGTGCTTGTAGGAATTTAGGAATACTGATAGCAAAGTAATGGAATGATATCTGTTGAGCTTCCCACGTATTCCACCCAATTATGATTAGGTTCAGGGATTCTTGATATCACCTCTAATTTGACCCAGGACTCAGCACTTCTAAGCCCTGCGCCGTGCCGGGAATGAAATAGAGGACGACAGCGTTTATTGGGTAGAAATCTGGTTGAAAGAAGCGATCACGATAAAGAGGGATGCCGTCGAGGAACTATGAGCACCACACGAAGCACAGCACCTACTTGGCTGCCAAAGAAAGCGAGGAGGTGTGGTGCTCTTGTGACAAAAGGTGCAAAGGGCAAAGTGTGACAAAGGGTCTGGTTGCGCTAAGTAAACTCGTCCATACGCCATATTAGCAACTCCCCGTCCTTGAGAGTTCCAGCGGCCAAAAAAAGAAGTCCCCTCTTCGCCTTTTCTGTACGGATTTTCTGCTTTTTTGTCAATGGCATACCATTGAGCCGCACCCCCGTACCTTGAAAACCCCTCTGAATGGTCGAGCTACGTTTCTTAACATTCACTTTCACTCAGTTTGTATTCGTCACAAATTTATATGCTTGCTTAAAATGCTTGTAATTATCACAAGATTTATGTAACATTGTTGTATTCCGCTTAACCCTTAGACTACGACTTTTTTAAAAACAAGTTATTGATGTGTTTTATGTAGTAACAGTTGCTCCTAGCAACAACTAATCATCTGTAGAAATTTGGCTGATGCGCGCTGGGTTTGAGCTGGGATTCGATCCAGAGACCATGTGCGCGGCAGTGGCCCCTCCTGTCACCACAGCCATCTCCGCTGCGAATGAGCATTTTCGAACAGTTCAAATACTATTCAACAAATACATTTATCACATCTCATTCGTGGAACTAAGGCAATGTCCGGTTGGGAACGCACTTGAAAAGAATTGCAAGCCGCACTTTGTAAAAGTGCTGCTCCCCTGCCTACAGGCTGCGCCCACCGGCTGCTTCTCCTCTAACGAATTTTCGCTGGTTTTTATGCTCGAAAGCTGCGTCATCATAGGAGTGTTCTACTACCACTTCCGCATCAAACGAACTGACAAAATTCCGGAGGTTGGAATTCCCAACGCAGTCGTAAAACGCTGTCGTCCTCTAGCTGGCTTGCGGCCGATAAAAACCTCCATCCGTCACCGGCTTGCTTATGTTTCACCTGTTTCACAATAATTGAGGGAAATATTAGAACCATTAACACAATACAAAGAATTTGAGACTCGAAAACTACCTTCTCGGGAGCTGTGCACACTGCCCAGTAACCTGTGGAACGACTTGCTTATCACTTATCCAGCGTAACTCGCTTAGACTTCTGATACTTCGCTGACAGAGTAAGAATTACCAAGTTTCTAGTTGTGCACAATTCCGCCATAAAGCGGACCCTCCGATCTCAATAAGTGCCAAAACTGTGGTAGTGACTTTGACTACCAAGTGGGACACATGTGTACCACCAGTAGTCAAAGATTAACTTATGCAGGATGACTCGCTTTAGCTTCTGACGATTCACTGTCATAGTAAGAATTAGAAAGCTTCTATATGTGCACAATTTAGCCATCAAATGAGCGCTCCTGCCCCTATATCTCCTGAAACTGTGGTAGTGTCTTTGACTACCAAGTGGGACACATGTGTCCCACACCAGAGTGGGACACCATGTGATGTCCCAACCAGATAGTCAAAAGGGTATAACACAGGCCGAAATTTCGAGGCGCCCCACTCCCTCCTTCCTGCACATGTCTATATAAAGTTTCACCCTTAGCGAGCGCTTACTCCAGTGTCTGGAAAAAATGGTTCACATTATTGTTAGTAGTAAACGCTATGAAGAGCACTTACTTGAAGTCAAATCCATAGGTTATACCCTCGGAACGCATTCGGTCGAGTGCTAGGCCGATAGGCGCCACCGCTTTTGTGAGAAACCCATGAATGATGGTAGCACATTTTTCAACAGCAGCAATTCCTACTGTGACCTAAACATGGCAAGTGAAATTCGCCATTTCTAGCCGAGGACAGGAAGTCTCGACAAAGTCCATCAGCTAGTACTTACGATCTTCTTCTGTTGTGAAATAACTGAAACGAACAGGCAGAAAAGAATCGTGGTGAACATGTTGAGGTAGGGGTCGGTAGGTGGCCAGCAGGCAACAAGAACCATGGTGGGGCTTCCATCTTGAAGACAATCAGCAAGAAACCTACACTTTGAAGCCTTGAAAACATAGCTGTCTCGCATCATACATTTCGAAAAACAGCGAGGTTCTCTTGGAAAACCGATGTTTAGATGAACGTCGAACCCAATTCACTGGTTGATGACCTCGGGCAGTCCAATAAAAAAAGAAAAGATATTTTATTGGGAGGAATTTATTATAACAAAGGAAATTGTGGTTCGTTTCGCCTAAAATCTATGTACCATGGGTACGAATGGCCAGCCGAATGCCATTATGAGCCACCGCTATTTAGGTTGATTTTAAAAATTTGGCAGTATATACCATTTACTGTCCCACTCCCCAAAAACTGGGCCACACTTTTAGAAAAGTTTCCGTGAATGTGGAATCGGCTAGGAAGGGGTCTTAGTGTAGCACAACTCGCGGAATTAAAAGCTGGCACCAAAACGGACCAGGACCCTCGGATCACCAAATTCGCCGGAAACTTGTTGTCAGGAATAGCTTGACCAGTCGGACATGAACAACATACAATTGGTTGCTAAAGGGCTTGTAGCCTGCGCCAAGGGCGCAGGCGCAAAACCATGTTATAGCGCCGGACCCTGAGGAGCGGACGACAATTTGTTCCGCGCTATAATGATGTTCTACTAGTGTACTAGTGTTCTAGGAGTTGAAATACCGAGGTATGAGGTGTGGGGCAGTAAAGGGTGAATAGTTTCGAAAATTCTCGCGAGCTTTTATACATGAACTATCGAAATATCTTCCCTCTACAGCAATAATATGAACTTTGCGTCAAATTTACCCAGATTTTCATGGATCTATGCCCGCCTCGGACTAATGGTAAGCAAGAAGTTGTTAGTACATTTAGCCGCTTTGCAGCCATCACTCAACTAGCCAGATTTTATTCAAATCCTATTTTTCTGATTAAAATCCCCGTTCTCCGAAATGCAGTGACGAAAGTTGAGACAGATGATTCTGAGAGGCTTCAAAAAGTGGGTTTCCTAGTGATTGTTGTCTCAAATGCGGAAGCCCAACTTCACTTCTTGTTGTCAAGTGGCGAACATTGACCCACGCGTCCCTACGATCTCTGTTTATTTTTATTCACTCGTTTCAGTTATAAAACTTAAAGGATAAAGCATTTGCCGTTGATCAATCCCTTTTTGGGATGCGGCACGCATTCTACTTCCATTTGTACATTCGTAGTGGCGTTTGAATGCGATGTGGCCTATACAATGACTTGCGGGGGCCAGCCGATGTACAAGTCAGTGTTTTTATCCTCCCAGACAAGTCTGGTACCAATTAACCGACCCCGGAGGGATGGAAGGCTTGGTTGGCCCGGGCGAGACCCAGGATTTGATCCCCGGACCGCGCCACTGGTAA